AAGGGCATCCAACTAAACTCATCTTCTTTTTTCTTAAATAAAAGATAGAAATTTGTCAAACAACAACAGGTACAACCATACAACATATACATATTTATACATAGATATATGGTCACGCTCCGGTGAGATTGGTGCTTAGTAAAAGAAATAAGAATCCATCATAGTCATTAGATCGAATAATCCAATAACTAAAAAAACAAATATTTAACCTTTATTAAGGACATATTAGACATTTAACAGAATTCACCAACCAAACCTAATAGTAACAATGGGCCCCACTCTCCAAACCCCTCCCCACTTTCTCGATCTTCCACAAAAAAAAAAAAAAGAAAACGAAAAAACCAACCTGTCCAAACTTTTTCTCCCCCATAAAAAGTAGCACATCCCTGCTGTACACCATGACCGACCGCTGGCGCTCCTCTATGGCAAACCGACATCGTTCGACATCAACCAGAGATTGTGTGGTGGAGTGGGTGGGTGAAAATCTGATTTACGGGTAGGTGGGGAATTGTGGGTGTTGGTGGGTCCCTCATGATTATGTGTTTTTGTTAAATATCTGAATTACCCTTAATTAGTAATCACATTTATTTATTTGACCATTATATGTTTGTTATTTACCATATTGTCATTAATTATTAACTATTATTTGTTAAAGTTTAACTTAATCATGACCATTGATATGATATATTCAATGGTTTAGATCAATTCTTATTTCTTTAATTGTACTTTTTTTCATTTGAGCGCACTTATATATATATATATACCAGTGTTTTAAAACGCGTATATCGTAATGCGTCGCGTTTTGGTCTTCATACTACGTAGCGTAAATAGCGTAGCGTGTTGCGTAAGCTATTTGGTTATAATTTTTCTTTTTTTTTATAGAAATATTACAAATATATTTGCATATAATAAAACTGGATAGTCGATTACAAAAATTATTATTATATTTGAATTGACTTAAAAATAACATCTAAGGACAATTATTTGATGTAAATGTCATCATAATATAATATTAAATAATAACTCATATATACTAAAAAGTAAAAACAAACAACAAAAATATAATGAGGCAAGCTATAATATGATTTTAAGTATATGTATTTTAATTATTATATTATTATTATTATTATTATTATTATTTCACTATTATATCTAATCATTAGATATGAACTTTTTATTCTTTATTTAAATGTCAAGTAATGAAAAATAAAATGATATAACAAAAATTAACAAATAAATATTGCACTATTCAACTTAGGAATTTGCATTTTTAAACTTTTAATTTAAAATCATTATCAAAATTTTTAGTTTTTAGGTGTCATTTGTAAATATAACTTTAATACATAAAAATACGAGTTTTTAAAAATTTTATTGTTCAAATTCCGTTGTAGAAATATAGCGCAATTTAACGCACAATAGTATGAAATAGCGCAAGAAAGCGTGTCATTTTCGACAGTGCGCGCAAGCTTTTCGAGAAAAACGCTAAATATATAAGGCTAGGTCGCGTTTTTCCCAAAAAAAGCTATATAGCGAGCTATTTAAAACAATGATATATACATACATACATACGTACATACATACATACATACATACATACATATATATAGATTTTTTTGGATATTTTATTGGCATTATTATTATTATTATTATTATTATTATTATTATTATTATTTGCCTAATTGTTTAATTGCTTAATACCTAATTGTTTAATTGCTTATTCAACTAAATAAGTATTGCGTTATTTATATATATATATATATATATATATATTTATATATTTATATAGATATAGATATTGATGTGCCAAAATAAATGACTCACCGAGATTGCCGGTCGAAACGTCTCTTCTCGATTGCGTGAGAGTTCGGATGTCTCGATCACCTTCGTCTTAAAGAACCGGATCGACCTGCAAAGCACCGGGGCAGGGCCCCGGCGTAGACACTCCGACGCTCAAGTCAGAAAACAGATATTTGATCGTATATCTTATACGTAATATTAAGAGCTCAAGATTAGAAAATGAATCTAGTCCCTTATTTATAAGGGGTTTAATGACTTACTCCCCAAGATAATGAGTTTCCTCAGTATATTAGAATTCTGATGTTCCTCAGTAACTGTGTAGCCAACTTTCATGAATATCTTTAAATAATATTGTTTATCACATAAATATGGATATAGATATAAATTAAAATAATATAGTTTCTAAGTATGTTTTAATCTAAATAATATTTAAGTTAGATTTATCTATATCTATATATATATATTAAAAGCCAACCTATTTACCAAAAATAGTAGCAAAAAAAGTCAACACACATTTAATGCATACCTTATTTGGAAATATTTTATTATATGCATTAAATGCTTACATATTTACATTTATTATCCAAATATGATCTTAAAGATTTTTTCCTTAATTAATTTACGCAATGATTTTACTGATATCCATTATAATTAATATTTGTCGAGTAATATTTTTTAACCTTTATTTAATTATATAAAACTAATATTTTTTACAAAAAATAATACTATTTATCATTTAAAAGATAATGATCACATCATTAGATGGTTTTATTGATAGTTAGATAATAAAATTATATTAGTTATTCTCTAAAATTTTTACTAAAATAAAAACCGGCTTAAGAAAAAAAAATCCCATAACATCCGATAAGTCAAAAAAAAGTACGTAAAATCTTTACTAAAATAAAAAAGACTTTATTTATTTGTCTTATTACATAGTAACATCGATTTAGTCAAAATAAATCCCATAATCAGTGAAGTCAAAAAATATACATAAAGCCTATTTATACTAAAAAAAAAAGAAGATTCAAAATTCCTTATCTAATTTCTGTTTAAAGCATTTATTTAATATTTATTTATATAAAATATTGGATAGAATTGTTGGATCTGAGTCAATTTTGTAATCGCGTTGTTTGGTATGAGAGGATTATCTGCATCCTATAACTGTCTAAAGCATATTATTTTATATTATTTAATTAATTTATTTAATATTAATTTTTTTTATCCATGATATCAGTTTTGTCAAAAAAATGGAACAAACAAACAAATAAAAAAGAAACAGGATTAATTACCTTCGACTTGAAAAAATTTATGGGTGGACGTAAATATTTAACAATGTTGTTTCAAGTTCCTTAAATAATACTATAACTATGATGTTGTAATATAATCTGTTTTATGAGTGACGTAAATATGCTTTTTAAAGTTCCCTAAAATATTTTTTAAAAAATTATGTTGTTTAAAGTTCCTTAAATATTAATATATTTAAAGTATACACATGCTGTAATATATTAAAGTCAAAACAATGTTGGAAGGTTTTGAATTATCTAAGTTTATTAATTTAAATGTTTAATCCCATTAAATCTTCAATCCACGGAATTTACTAATCCCATGAGCATGTTGTTTTATTATTGTAATCTACTTATACACTATTTTACTAATAAATTATTTAATATCTATGTACAAGGAGGTCTTTAATAATATATGAATTTTTTTTTGTCAGATACTATTTTATTGTATAATTTTCCTGTGTACTATAAAACTTTTAGTGAATATTGCATCTTATAATATAATATTCCTCAAATAAATATATCCTGTGTCTCGCACCGTCCCATACTATATATATCATGTACATTTTTTTTATTCATTTATATAACTATAAAGCTGGATAAATAACCTTAAAATTGTGCACCCCGTGCATCGCACGGGCTCTGTACTAGTATATATTAAAAGCCAACCTATTTACCAAAAATAGTAGCAAGAAAAGTCAACACACATTTAATGCA